TCCAAAGACCAAATATAATTGGATTACTCTCAATAATTTGGCCATTAGAAATCACTATGTTAAATCCAACTAAAACCGAACCAAAAATCACAAAAATTGAAGCAAGACTTCGTAACATTTTAAATGACTACACTTGTGAGGGCCGTGCTTGACTTGTGAAAAGAGAATCCATGTTTAAAATGTGTTATATAGTTTTCATATTGTTTGATCCAAGTGAGAAAAGCGGTGGCTACAATTTTTCATCTCGTTCGGCGCTTGTCGCACATCGCGTTAATGTGCCTATTAATTTTTTCAGTTGACCGCCGTGCATGCGCGCGGCTTCAAGGAAATCCGGACGAGCTGCAGGGGCAAGTGCAAAAGACAAGGCCGAAGATTACGCGCCGACCGGTAACAGACCGAGCGAATGGGTTATCGACATTTCGGATGGATTCATTCATTTTTTGCCTATTGTCGGAAGTAGTTAACGATGAATTTGCTCAAATTTAGTTGCACTCGCGTAGGTGACTAACGACATTATCGTTATGACTAACAAACACGGTAAACCTGTATCTGGATTTAACCAAAAACTCGTCAATTCTGGCGATTAAACGTATATTTTTTATGTAGGCGACTAAAATGATATTTACTAAATGGTTTAAATAAATTTATTTTTTTGTGTTGTTTCTGTTTCCGCATGTTTGACCTTCGTTAGATCTGATTTTTATTTATGATATTTGTGATTCTAGTGACTTTTGCGGTAATGTACAATTATATATGAGAAAATTATTATAATTTAAAACAAAATATGGTTTTTAATTATTTTTAGTGCGTCAGCAAATTAAATGGAGTTTTTTTAATAATACTTCCGAATGTACCATTTGATACTACTACATTTAACTACGATTACGTATTTCCTCATATCAGTGGGCAGGGTAGCTAGGGGTTATCTGTAACGAAAGTAACTAGCAACAGGCGTTTTCTGGTATTAATTTTCCGGTATTAAAATTTATTGGTATTAAAATATTTTTTGTCTTCATCGAACATGATATTAACATAGTCCTGCAATATTGTCATAGCTACTGTCCCGCAGGCCGATGCAATAAACAGAACAGTGCAGGTCCGTCATTTTGGAAAGGCATTTTATTTTTTTAATTTTTTTTATTTTTTCAACAGCAATCAGAACTCTTGCGTAACATGTTCTATAAGCTGATTGTTGAAGACTTATGACCTAACGTATTTTTATGAGAGGCAACCCATCGGTTTACCATTCTCCTATGTGTGGGGTTTATATATTAGCTCTTACGTCTAATCGTTATCATATGATTGAATGATGCAGCTATGTCCACGAAAGACGATTTCCACTTGAAATTATATTGTGATCTATAACCCCAAGTAGAAATTTGACATCAAAGTAGAAAGGCAATTTAAAATTAATATATCATAAAATTTCGATTTGCGTTATTATTATTAAATAATTTTGAATTTTGTTAATCTTATTTTGATTGAATTTTGTCAACCTTTGACAATGTATAACAATTTTTGTGATTGCTAAATTGTTTGAATAGTTATCTAGATTAATGTAAAAAATGATACCTGAAATTAGTTGAAACAAAACCCTAGGGCTAGTTATACCATATAAAAATTATATACAGGTACAAGTGAAAAAAATTAGGTGGAATGTAAAGTTTGTAAGAAGTGAGTTGATGTAAATTGTATTACGGAAGACACTATTAATACTAACTAATTGTTTACAATGATATATAATAAAAATTTATATTATAAGAGACATTACATATTTTATTTGTATTGATTATAAACTCCGATTTATGAAACGAATTACTTAGAAATAAGTTAATTTTCTTAAAAATAAATAATAAATCTTAATAAGAAGTATTATTGTCGTTTTTTCGTCGTTACTATTTGACTTGGTAGAGCATACAACTAGCTTCAAACACGGGGTAAGTTGTAACACCGCACTTTTTCTAGAAAATGATTAATTGTGAAATAATGAACAAAAGTTGTGGAATTATTTTCAATTGATTCTGTAGAGGAATAGTTACAGTAACATACATCCTTATTTCGTAGAAATATAATGAGTGCATTTCGAGATAGATTAATTTAAAATTAAACTGTTACAACCAGCCTCTAGCATCTCTACATTCATTAACACAATTTAAAAATCTAAAAATAAATTTTTCCGCTTTGAAGCTTTAGAGAATCCTATTTTGTGATATAAGTACAATACATTTTTAAGGTGTTCCATGTTAGTTGATGATAATAAACATAGGTTCAAGCGTACATCGTGACTATGGATACTCTTGCATTTAAATGCTTCGTAGATTAAGGAATCCGAGTCAATAATTTTTTTTGAATTAGGCGGAAAAGTGCATTATAAATGTATACGCCCTTTAGTAGAAAAATGGTTAAACTTCAAATAGTTAACATCATTATTAGTTTCAAATATCTATATTACTGAGCTTTTCTAACAAAGTTCATTTTAATGTTCTAAAATTAACACATAAATTAGATTAAACAACATGATACTGAAATACTACGTTCTAATAGGAGGAAAAAACTGCTGCTTTTAAATCGGCAATGTTAACAATAAATTTTGACAATAAATTATTAATTAAATAATCTTATGTGAACTTGTCTTTAACGAAGACGACATATATCAGCTGTACATAATCAAAGTTTTCGAGTGATTAATTATTTATGATTCATGAAAAATCCACATCCATTTAGATCGTTGGTATATTAATAGTAGTATTTGAAGCAAACAACTGGCAAAAACGTAGAAATACTCAATTTACTATTTAATGAAATACAATTAAACAGCAGGTTTATTTAAATATATAAATCAACTAAATCTTACTAAAACTGATTCAATTCAGAGCCAATATGATTAATAATAATTTTGCATGTATTCATGATGATTTGATAAACTTATGATTTAAAGGATCTCACCTATCAGATAACTTTAGAAGTAATAGATTTTACATAGAAAAATCTGGTAAATATTAAGAGGATTTTAGGTTTCATTTACATTTTAGAAATAATTATAAATTTACTGGTATCGTTTTTTTGTACATTTAACTTGAAGATTGTTATTATAAAAATTCATAGAAAATTAGAATTATATATGTATATTTGTATATATATATATATATATATATATATATATAATAAAAAAATAATAGAATAAAATTTAGTCATAACCTACTAATGCAATGACAATTATATTTGTATGTAATCTTGATTAGAACATCAAATAATGGCATTTTTCAAATTACTATATACAACGCAGCGATTGATTTTTTTGAAGGTATTTAAAAAAATATCTTAATAGTACAATAAGCAGCTGAACTGTTTACGTTTCAAATGATATATTCTATAAATTCCAAATGGCACAAACTATTTATTATTTAATAACATGATTTTTATTAGAATGACACGTTGCATTAATGATATTGCACTTTTTATAGCATTTAACTATTGAAAATATATCATATCAGAAACATATCATTGATTTTCATAAAAATAGAAGTTGCAATAAAATTTGTCGTGATTTATTATAATCGATATGTTTATTACAGAAGTTATACACAACAAAATTAATTGATATTTTTTGCATTGATAAGTCTAATATATAAAGAGTGCTACGGTACGAAATAATCAGTATGAGAGAGAATTTTCTTGGAATTATATTTAAATAATTTAACAAAAAGGTCAAAACATTCAATTAGAGATATTCAAGTTATAAATATTAAAAGATCATTTTACAATAATTTATTCATTCAAACATATATTATAGCATACCTAAATACAAGCATGCATTCATGTGAATAATCATATATTATATGTATATCATAATATATAATCAAATGATGACACAAAATATTGTATGAATGTTTACAGATCAGATAGAAAACAATACACATTGAAAATATTGGAATAGATATCAAGTTTGCTCATAATTATAAATTAAATATTAGTGCAAGTACCATTTTGCGTAAGACAATTTGTATGAACTTCTCAATATTCCTTAAAATATTTCTCAAAAATGTTACATTGTAAAGGTAATTGAAAAAATGTCTTTTCCGACTTTAGCAAAAATTAATTAACACGATTTTCCACTAACATCTTAATTATAATCGCCTTAAATTATTAACTGCAAAAATACGGTTTAGCCTATTTTCACATAAGACTTGAGAATCACAAAAATAATTGAATTATGAGAAGGGTTTTTGAAATATTTAAAATAAATACATTTTAAACTGAAACTGAACTGAGTTTTTTGAAAACCATTCAAAATTTTTTCAAAATCATTTCAGAAAAACGAAAAAAAAATCTTTCACAAATGTACACACACACACAAAATCAAAGATTTTGCGGATGGGTCAATTTATTTTCTGGTAAAAACGTAACTTCCTCAGAGTTATTAAAGGAATAGTTAGTAAAAAATATTTTGAAATATTAAAATAAATACATGTTTGTAATTATTTGATTTTTTATTCATATTAATTTTTCTTGCTTGGTCATAATTATTTGTTATATGAATATAACTAATATTAAACAGTTACTCGGATGGACAGTAATTCAGAATTAGACTATACACATAGTAATGCTACTATATAAGTATACAACCGAACTTTTGTTTTTTAATTTGAATTATATTAAAGAATAACGTCGGAGCTTTTTCAGAGAACTTTTTAAGTTTGCCTGCTTTACGTCTATATTGACTAGGAAAAAATGACAAAAAAACAAAATGACAAATTAATTACAAAAATTTAATTGAGTTTAGCAAAATTGAGTTAAATAAAAAATTGAAAAAAAATTGATTTGGTCACTTCCTTTGATTTAATTTTCCAAAATTTGTTTTGAGTAAAAAATTGATCATGATTGATTTGGTCACTACTCTTAATATTATTTTTCTAAACTTTTTGCCGAATCAATTGCTTAAAAAAAATCAAATAAATGAAAACTCTTTTATAACAATTCTGCAAACGTAACATAAATACCTGAAGTTTATTTCCTATTTTATGGGTTTCTTTTCCAGACTCCCCCACAGAATTCCATATCATTCCTCTACTAAGCCTCCAAAGACCTAATATTAACCGATTATCTTCAATAAATTGACCATTGGCACTATGAAATTGTAAAATAATTAAAAATGACAAATAAATCACTAAAATATTTTTAACCACAGCACTGTTATGCATTTTGAAAAAATTCGAATTTCACTTTCAATTTAAATCCTCTCGATGATGGCACATTGGGCAATAAATTACATATGATCGCTGGATCCATGTATCAAATCTATTATATAGTTCGCAAGTTCACGTGCGATCATGCACACACTCGGGTTTTACATGTTGCTAAAGTTTTTTTCTAACGCACACCTTTCTGCCTGTGTTAGTGACGATGTTGTTCGTCTATTAACTTTTTTCGATTGTCTGCCATGCGTGCGGCCGTCTCAAGGAAATCCAGCGACCATAAGGGACAGGGATTTTTATTATGAACACACCTCAGCAGTACGATTTTTCGAGGAATATAATAAGCGTTTAATACACTTTGTAATAACAATTATTACGTGTTTATATGCAATAATCTAACATGCGAAAATGTATGCGACCTTGCATCCGCCTGTACGCGATGCTCTTTGTATTTGTGCCGTAACGACATATATTTATTGTTTTCCGCAAATTCATGATTTAATTATGATAATTCTGTATAAATATCGAATTCGATATTGGTCTAGCGAAATATTCAATTGAGAACCCACCAGCTCTACTGTGTAGGTGTTATCTCCAACCCGGAAAGACGAATGTTAAAAAATAACATCAAATAGAAAAACTAGTGGAACTTCCCGTATCATCAATCATCAATAAGATTTTTTTAAATATTTCCACATGGATATACATATTGTATCTTTCATTATTCTTGTTTTTTTTTCAATATCCTTCCATAATAACAATCATAACATTAATTACATTCTATGAGTTATTTTGATTTAGTAAGTGAGTAATTACTATTAGACTCAATTTATTGGATCAAGTTAATAGGCAAAATTATTTAAGTCTAAATTTTGGTATAAGGAGCAATGGAGCAACTAGTACATTGGGGTGATTTTCTAATTTGTGATGATGATTGTTCGATTTTGTTTTTATAAAATCTATAATATTAGCACATACAGAGTTTTATTGTTCATCTATCATCATTCTAAGTAGTTTTAATTGGGTCATCTATACCACTTTGCTAGAGCAGCCCCAAAGCTCTATTCGTCTTTATGACAATATAAAAGCTCACAAATTACACGACTACGTTAATATATAGTTAAATAATTTATGAACAAAATAAAATATATATAAACAAAATATAATCAAGTTACCACCAATTTTAATAAAAGACCTTATCTCATATTTAATTATGCATTTGAGGACTATCTTATATCTCTATCAAAAACTGAATTGCAGAGTAAAAATTATGTATTTCAAGTATATAAGTGAGCTGCAGAATTCTAGATAGAATTAAAATTAAAATCCGAATCATTTAAGATATTTTTAAAAAATAATGAAATAAAAAAAAATCTGTTTTCAAAATTTTTGAAACTGTTTGAAAATGTAGAAACCAATCAATACGAATGAAATGTTTTTTTCTCGAAATCGTGGGCACAATCGTATCCATCATACATACATACATATACACATACAGTCTTTTTTTCTAAAGTATGCCGAAATGTTCAACAAGTCTTGAAACGTAAAAATAGATTAGGGTGGAACACAAAGGTCAAATTTGTCTTTCAGTAACAACACGTGTTCCAAAGTTCATCACACATCAAACAAACAACTATTGAACTATGTTCAGCAAAATACCCAATTAATTCCTAATTATTGAAATAAGTTGTTTTAGCTATTTTTCTAAAAATTGTCTACAACCAGGGGGCAAACAGATCTAATGTCTCATTTATAATTTTAAAAAAATTTAATGTAATAATAGCTACATTATCAACGAAAATTACAAATATCATAGACACATTTTTTTTACAAAAATGATACTATATAACGATCTGAACTAGATAGAAAATTTAAATTATCTCTTGTGGAATTGCGTCTTGTTGAACCTTTGAATTTCCTATTTACTTATTATATATGTCTTTGAGAAAAATAAAATTATTTGTTATCTTATTTAAATACCTTTATTAATTTTTTTAAATAAATTTCTATACTTCATATCCAATATGCAAAATACAATATTTCAGTAATCATTTACCATTAGCATTGCGGAAGATGATAAAACTAATCATATTGACATATCCGTATACAATTACAAAATATTCTACTTAATTAACCTTCACAATGTTCTACTTGATTTTCTCATGAGATTTATCACACTATCAAACTAATTCATGAGTTGCCCGCCCGTGAAATCAAAACTTGCTTCAATCCTATAAACTCGGTGTTAAACGAGCAGCAAATTCAACATAACACCTATAATATAACATCACATAAAGACCATATTTATAAATTTTAATTTTTAATTTATTTGGATGTCTCAAACATAATCATTTACATATGTAATTCCACTAATAGAGCATAAGTCAGAATAAAATATTCCAAATGAGATTAGGTATGAAATCATTGCGGAAGTAATATTTTGCTAATGTATCTGTA